ATGTTCTATGGCTACTAAACATAGTGTATATTAAGTTACTTGCCAGAAATGTTAAGATTCTACATACAAATGCTACGAAACGCTATACTATATTAAGCAAACAAATTGGACTCTGGTGAGGTAATGTAAGGGGACAAAACACAGACAAAACTGAACTTATTGTCCTAATATAAATTCACAGAGTCGTCCTATACAACCGCATGGACTTTGAACCTGAAAGGAACGACCCTTTCAATCTACATCTGGGGAATGTGCCAGAGGTGGTGAAAAACCCGACGTGGGGAGGGGATTTAAACTTCGACCCAGCCCAATTAACGACAAAGACCATCCCTGTAGATGGATTGAGGGCGCGCTATGTTGGAATCCGGCTCCCGGGACCCAGCCGTACTCTACAGATGTGTGAGGTGCAGGTGTTTGTGAATGACCGGTACATTTCACCTCGAGGTGAGTTTTAATTCTCAATTGTTTATAATGATATAAAACTTGCAGACATACATACAATATTGCCTCCATGACATAAATTATGATTACAATTTACAATATTAAAAGAAACACGTACATACTTATAAACATACTTCTAATATGAACAGTACAATCCAGACATAAGAAGTACCATGATTATACAGTCTGATTGTGAAGTCTGATGGACTTATGTATGAAATAGTCATGAAGTCTTTTTGTTATGGCCGGGGGGGGGGTAGTGTTTTGTTTGTAAGAAAACGTCCAGTAGCTATCAAATGAGCTATTGTCCAGAGACAGACTAGGGACAAGTTTCTTTCCTGGAGAAGAATGAAATGCAGTTGCCACAAGTCCTGAAAATAGTCAAATGTGATGAGTATTATTCAGTGAAAAAGACGATTGGACAAAACAAACACTCACTATTCTGATGATATACAACATCAAATCTTGTATATCATTGTTTGACCTGTTGATGATTTGATTCAATTTTGAAAATTTAATCAAACGCTTGAAGTGATGTAATGTTAGCTGGTTCAGAACCTGGCATCGTGAATTACTTTCGAGAAGCAGACAATAATAGCTTGCAATGGTATTTATTGTTTCAGAAACTGTTGCATTTTTATTGCCATCTGTTTCATGGTATTTTTTTTTCGTTCTCTCTCTTTCTACTCCTCTTTTCTTTCTATATTCTCTTTTTCCTTTCTTTTTGCCGTCTTTGAATACATTCTATCACTTGTAAATAAACCTAATTTATATAATATACTTCTTTTAGGTTTACACAATCATATATGTCGAATTTCTCCTGTATGAGCACGTGGTATGAGTTACATGTATATTGACTATCAAACTATTTTCTAAAGCAGAGGAATATTTTACGATTTATAAATTTTAACAATATTTATCAATATGTAATAATGTTTTAACAATAATACCCATATTTAATGATATTTTGTGACCTCAGAGCAATTCAGGCAGCCAGTATGGTTGCCTGCGAGTCTGTGGTCAGTGTGGTGGTAATTGAAATTGTGTATGTCTTGAGTTTTCAATTTGAAATAAACCATTCTACTGCAGAATCATGTTTACTGCTGGGCTGCTGGCGGGTTGATGAGTCCCACCCGGGGATACTGGTGTTTGATTCTCCGCTGGAGTACGGCCTTCATGACCTGATCCCCGCCGTCCCCCGGCCTGCTGGACTTGTCGCTGACGTCAGAGTTGACGTCACAGCTGGAGATCTGCCTCCGGTCACGCTTCACACCGTCATTCACGTTGCTCCAGTCTACACTTTAACAGAACTGGACCTTCAGTAAGTTGTTATCATGATAATGATCATGCCCTTAGCCAGGATTTTGAAGAAGAACTTTATTGCACGGCAATTGTACAGGGTACATTGTATGGCAAATAGGTAACAATAAGTAGCATAGTAAAATGGATAGGAATAGAATAAAACTTAACAACTTATATATAGAAAATAAATAATCAAAAGTTAGCTAAGGCTTTACAATCAGGCGGAGTTATCTATGGGTACATGTGACAGCAAATCTGTATTCTTTCTAATGACAAAACAGTCTTTTATGTATTTACCTATTTTTGCATTGTGTGGGCTGTTGCATTTAAATAGATAATCAAATCTATCTGTAGCAACAAGTCCATTGAAATCTGTCGTATTTGAAGTGAGAAATTTGAATAGCTTATCACGTAGGAAATCATATCTAGAGCATTCCTCTTCGATTTTCTGTGGGCAGAATTTTTAATGTGTGTGTGTGTGGGTGGGGGGGGTCTTCCTGGTGTCTGGTTAACCAGTGAGCGCCGAAGGTGCAAGGTTCCCACGGAGGGTCCGATTTTGACAATTGAACCTTGTAAAATGGCATTTCCTGCGTTTTTGAGAGGGTTTCAAAGGAAAAATCAGACATTTATACACACTGTGTTCAACATTTATACACACTGTGTTCAACATTTATACACACTGTGTTCAACATTTATACACACTGTGTTCAACATTTATACACACTGTGTTTAACATTTATACACACTGTGTTCAACAATTATACACACTGTGTTCAACATTTATACACACTGTGTTCAACATCTATACACACTGTGTTTAACATTTATACACACTGTGTTCAACATTTATACACACTGTGTTCAACATTTATACACACTGTGTTCAACATGTATACACACTGTGTTTAACATTTATACACACTGTGTTCAACATTTATACACACTGTGTTCAACATTTATACACACTGTGTTCAACATTTATACACACTGTGTTCAACATTTATACACACTGTGTTCAACATTTATACACACTGTGTTTAACATTTATACACACTGTGTTTAACATTTATACACACTGTGTTCAACATTTATACACACTGTGTTCAACATTTATACACACTGTGTTCAACATTTATACACACTGTGTTTAACATTTATACACACTGTGTTTAACCATGTTCAACCGGAGTATGTGGTACGGACAGGAACAACCACCGAGTCACCAACCTTTTTTTTTCTTTAATCCCGTCTGTGTTACATGTATAACTGTTGAGATCAAGTTTGACTGTACATGATAAGTCACTAAGACCTAAACCAGTGGGAGTACAATAACTGAATATTATTATTATTATTATTATTATTAGTAGTAGTAGTAGTAGTAGTAGAATGGTTTATTCAATTCAATAAAAAATACAGCCCAGTTGCAGCCCGAAGGCCGAATTGTCAGGCTTGTTTACAATCACAGTCAGGTCTTCATACTACTTCAAATACATACTAAAATGTAAACCGTCAACTTATTTATCACATATACATATATTATTTAGTCAGCGATATTATAGGTAAAATTTGAGAACACGTTAAAATCACTCTAAAAACTGACAGGCAAATGGCTAAAATCGAGGTTAAAAATCACTCTATTCTTCCTTTCAGTTGCGAAGAAAACTGTGATCCGTGGAATACGATATCGGCCCAACCCTTGTTGCTGTACACGGATTCAGTGATATTCGGAACAACGGAATTCTCCCTAGTAGAATTCCCAGCGGAATTCCCAGGGCAGCAGTGGACCTCTGGTATAGACAGTGTGACAACCGACCGTCTCCGAGTTCTCGGTGGGACATTCTGGGTAAGGTCATGTGCAACTCACAAATATAGGCAGTGACTGCTTTTCAAATGAAGAGAATATGAATTGTCACAGTTAACGTCTCAAGGTTAACATAGTCTAGTTTATGTTCAATAAAAAGAAGCTTTCAATAAGTGAATTGGCTTCTTAACCCTCAAACACCCATTTGGTTTCTTTCAAATTTATATTCCTTTTTGCATTCTTTCAATGATATTTTGCACATATATTGGTTAAACATAGTAAGAGGTATACTTTGGCATGATTAAGTGTTAAAAAATTCCAGCTCATTATCATAAGTTATGCAAAATATAGGATAAGGCCTCAGGCATGAACATGGGGTTGTCCTTTGACCTCATATGATTGTCAATGGTGAAATTCCTCTGAAAACCTGATGAACTAATTCCTGAGGTTGAGGATACTTGGCAAACTGCATAAAGTTAAAGAAATGATACTTTTTTGAAGACATATTGAGGACATCTAAACAATTTCGTGCGTAGGAAAGTGCGTTTGGACCCCAGATAGTCTTACATCAAACTCCCCGTTGTTATTTTTACACATTTGTGTCGATCTCCAAAAAAAAGTAGAACTTGAAGAAGAGGTTTATTTACAAAGTCACGGGAGGAATTGTTTTTTCGAATAAAAAATTCTCAAATAGCACTTAAAAACATACGCATGGGGTCCAAATGGACCCTTTCGGGTGTTTGAGGGTTAAACCTGCTTGTTGCACAGGTCCCATCTAACACGGGACGTCCAAATTCCAGATGAATCGAACATCCTTAAAAGGATAAAAGTTACCTAGGTACCCAGCTGTAGTCAAAGTGAGGATAGGGATTCGAATCCAGAACCATAGATTCTAAAGAAGTGAACAACCCACGGTTTCTATACTATCATGAAAGTTAATCTGTGTTGGTAGTTACATGTTGAAAGTTAAAACAACACAAAAAGTTTTCTCACCTAGAGCCTATGACCAATGAGCTTTTGTGTTGGACCAAAAGTTTTAACTTTAAACAACAAATAGCTTTTATAGCCTTATTGCATATATATTTTACTTAATATTTTCTTTAAGCCCAGATTGTGTATGTAATGTATTTAGTCTGCTATGTAGTTATAGTTGACCATTAGTTGACCATACGAAAGTGTGCTTGTTGGTGCACCAATCTTTCTTCATGTGTTTCTAGGCTGATTGATACTACAAGGGATTCGGACCCAGAAACTTCAAGATAATCTAATGATGTGATCGAACAACCTACAGCTTTTGCCACATTGTCATAAATGCTTTCATAGCTGTATTTCAGCCATATTTTTCTTTCATAATATGTTCACTTTTTTAATGTATTTCTATTATTGTTTTAGTTGACCACACGAGTCGTTCAGTGTACTTCTTGTTGCACCAATCTTTGTACGTCTGTGTTTCTAGGCTGCAGGATACTACACCGTACGGCTAACAGACCGCCATGCTGCTGACTGCGGTGATCTGACCAGGGTTGCGGAGTGGCGTTTTCACGTCAACCCTCTGCCAGCGCCCCCTAGCGGAGACGGCGTGTCCGCGGACCCTGTGTGTACCCTGCTACCGGCGGACGGAGTATCTCTGATCGATCAGTTCTGCGTCACGTGTCCTGGTGAGATTCTGTTCAGACAACCCTCAGCAATTTCCATAATGTTTCTATTGTTTATTGTTTATTTATTTATTATTTGCACGTATAAAAAAGTTACATAATCAAATAATAATAATAAGAGAATATGCGGGATAGGCCAGAAACCTAGGTGGTTTTTTAAAGGGCCTACCGCAAACAAAGGTAACTATGATACATGATAAAACATATTTGAATTAAACATCAAAATTAAACAATGCAATAGTTGAATAATTAAACAAAATCAAGACACAGAAATAATAACTGAAGTGTGTAAACTAGTTTTTACATCCACGGAAAGAAATTAAAACAAAAGTCTTATAATTCAGATCGCTGTTGCAGAAATAAACTGATTAGATAATTAACATAAAGATTAACGATTAAAACAAATGATTCTAACTAATATCTACAATCAAACCTGCCAACGTGACTACCTCTTCAAGCTGGCCACTCGTCCACGGTCACTAATTTTTCTCGGTCCCAAAATTGTCCTCATCGTGGCAAGTATTAAGCAACCTGTCCAAGGTGACCACCTGGCCAACGCGACCGCGACTGGTCTGAGTTGGGTCCGCTCAAGGCCAAATACCTGCCCATGGTGACCACATCATTTTCATTCACGTTGACTATTGATCATAACTAATAGGGAAACCAGCCAGTTTGCCAATTGTTACATGTGTCACCCTCCCCACATCCATCTGTACAGAACTAAAGATGGCATTAAAGCACCTCGACTTGGAAACCATTGATGTCTAAGTCATGTTGTGAGGCGACCCTCTTCAGAGAGTCTGTTTGACTGTATTTAGAATAGATTCCTATATACAGTCCGAGGTCCATTAGTACGCTTGTAGAAATAGTTTATTGTTACTAAGTGTGAATTGCCATACATTGTATCCTATGTAACTGTTGCACAATAAACTTGACGCGACGCGACTAAATCCCTAAGCCCAAAATAACACGCCAGAACATGAAATAATATATTTACATAAGGTTCTATATATCAATTATACATTTGGGAAAATGTTCAGCAATATCAAGAAAATGTTCAGCAAAGTTTCGCACAAACATTTTTAAAAAATGTTGTACAACAGCTGTGCAAGTTTTTGATAACTTCAGAATGTTGTGCAAAGATATTTTCTAAGTAGCTAAAGCCTTCTGATATTTTTATATTTCCCTTCCCCGAAGGAAAACATTTTGTTCTTGCTCTGTTCATTCTTCGTCTTCTTCTCCAAAAAAATAAGGTCAATAACCTGAACCAGACGTCTGTCACCATGGTAACTACAATATGGTGTTGGGTTATATCATGTCTGTAGGGGGATTTAGACTCTCCTGTCACCATTCATGACGTGTTTGAGTAGGAATTAACAGAGCAGACCATTATGTAGTTTCTTTGCCTTTCTAGTTTTCATAACATGTTTCTTATTGCAGAGTTCCTTGATATCTTGGGTCCGTTGGAATTATCGATACGGTTCCAGCTGACGCCGGCGGGGGAACTCGCCACGGCGACTTTTCCCGGAGACGGTCCGGACGAGGACACCAGGATCTTCCTCACGGCTTCATCACGGGTCTGGGTGAGGGCATTGTGATAGTTAGGCCATGTTGATTTGATTATATGGATGACATCCTCTGGGAACCCCAAAACTGATGCGCGCGTGCGAATAAAAAAAAAAGTTTTGCAAAAAAAAAGTTGCTTTCACTATGAAATCTACGTGGTCATGAAGGTTGAACAAATGGCACAGAATATGTTATGGCGAATAATCTACTCTTCGAATTCATTTCTTTACATTTTTGTCTTTTTTCCTTTGATTTCGGCATTCTACGACATTGGTATCGTTTCTAAATGTTTTCCTTGCAACTTATGGTATATTTTTGCTCATTTAACAACTGTTTTTGCACGATTTACAGTATGGTTGAAAACTTTTTTTTTTGGAAACGGTCGAAAATTCATGCGCGCGCGGATGTCATCCATGTAATCAAATCAACATGGCCTTATATAAATATAAAGTAAATGTTATATAATTCATTTTGATTTAGAGATAAAATGAATGGATGAATTGTTTATTATATGAGCGTTAATTGGTAGTTCTAGGAATGGGAATGGTTCTACCAAGTTAGAGGTCATGAGCTTAGACGCGCACAAAAACAACATTGCAGCCTAATAATACAATGTAAAAACTTACGGAGTTTCAGGACATATACAATTGTACAAAATGTCAGCAATATCTAAAACATAAGCAAACTGAATACTAAGAATATATACTAAGAGTAGTCGGGTGATTACACAATAGTATTTTACAACTTTGGTATAAGTTACAAAACACTGTTCAGGACTTTAGACAGGTGCTCTTTTGACAGGACTGGGATGTCACTGTTCCTGTACCTGTCAGATCTTATAAAAGGTAAAGGTACTATGTATCTAAAGAGTCACTAAGCCCTGAAGAAGACTGCAAAGCTTGTGTTGGAGTGAATTTTAGTTCTAGTTTCATATAGAAGTTGACAGTGTTAACAAATTTGCTATGTCTATCTGCAGGTTGGATACACACGTCTGTTTGACCTCGCTGTCGGCAGTATCCGGTTGTTTGTACGCGCTGACTCGGTGGACGGACGATTTTTTGAGGTCGGGCTGGCACCAATAGAGGTGGGCATGCGTCACATTCCTGCCGGGGGGGGGTCTCAACAACGCTCTACGCTAAATTTTGAGAGACGGCTACGTATTACGCTGAATCCAGGAAGCCTCCCCAATACGTTTTACGATACATTTTGGGTAGCGTCTGGTGGTGTAGTGGTTAGAGCAATAGACTGTGAACCGGGAGACCCGGGTTCGATTCCGAGTCGTACCCGGGACATGTCTGAACATGCGTCCCGACGTTGTGCCCTTGGGAAAGGCACTTTACACGACTTTCCTCACTCCACCCAGGTGTGAATGGGTACCTAACTTCGGTTGGGGAAAGTCGTATTGAGGTCACCTTGTGGCGCCGAATGGCAGCCGCACAGACCCTTGCGACAGTTCCACAAAAATGATTGTGGAACAAATATGTGTATTATTTGTATTATTTGAATGTTGTAATTGTTGTGATTTGTATTGATTATTATGTGATACCCTGCATCAATTCAGCCGATAAAGGCTGCGACTGCACGGGTACTGATTGGACAATAAAAACCATTTTATTTTATTAGCTACAACACATTACTTAGACGTCAAAACTACGAAATACGCTCTACGCAAAATGCGCCAATTTCGCTCTAAGTTGAATTAAAGAAACCGGTATGTCTTCGCTCTACGTAGAATTGAAATGGCCGATTTTGCTCTATGAAAATTTACAGACTTTTATTACACAACAATGTACAAGGTACAAAGTATGGCAGAAATGAGAGAACAAATCTAACAAATCAGTCTACGTAGTACAATACTAGGTGATATGGGATGAAAAGGCGCTTATATAATCATTAAGAGAATTTCTTATGTTTAGACATTCTTTAAAATACTGTCCTATATTCACAATGTATGGATTGTCAAAAGTCAACAAGTATCTGAATTTGCTAGATGAATTCATGACGAGAAATTCTGGTATAGAAGTTGATATAGTTGCATATAATGAATTACGTATATCAGAATATTTGGGACAAACAATCAAAAAGTGGTATTCGTCTTCTATTGATTCTGGACAGAATGGACAAACCCTCTGGTCAGCAGGTATTTTCGGCATGCGGGACCCCATTCTTGTGTGCCTACCACAATGTATGCCCTGATAGAAGCTGACGTGATGTCCTGGTCATCGTCGAGAACGACGGATAAACAACAACGACATTTCTGACAGGACCAAATTATATGTGATATTGACGTGTGATATCCATTACATTGTAAATATGGAACTCATTTAGTCCATATTATGACAATATATTGTACCCCAAGAGAATTTGCCCGCAACATCAGAATAAGTCTTATACAAATGCAGTGTTGACCGAAAATCCGCTAGATACCGTCTACTACTTAGAATATTTTGCGTTAGGGTGTGCTGAGATTATGATTTTGTCTGACTGCCTTAAAATCGCTTTTGGTTTTATAGTGGGTGGGAGGTGTTTATAAAAGTTGATTGACAAGGAGGGCACCTGAAGGTGACCAGGCACCTGCATTCTGGAACTGGGGTGATACATGTACCTATGAAATAAGATTTTACAGACCCCTCCTTAGTTCCCAAATCAGTCTTGAAATTCTTGTTTGTGCATGTGGACTTGAAGACTTGAACACTTTTCGGAAGTCTAAAATCTCTGATTTCTTTTTAACTTTTAATGACACCCTCTTTATCTTACAGATTAGACCACCGACAGTTTCTCAGCTCCAAAGTTACCTTCACGCCTTCTATGCCCATCCTGATGGCCTGTTCTTTACACAACTCGCTTTGGGAGACTCAGAGACCGCTTTCAAAGGAGCGATACTCGCCTCATCTGCAGCAGGAGGTTTAGCTTACACAGGATACGATGTTTTGGAGGTATTATAGGCGTTGTGAATGTTTTTTTTACAGATTAAGTCTGAAATAACACATAACAGTTATAGTACTATATGTTATGTACGTTCGATATGCTTTGTTCAAACTCAAAGCTATCGTACCTGTTTGGTAGATTATATATCTATTGTATAATCAAGACGTGAGAAAACTGTTGCATAAGTATGCACTGGCAACATTTTTGTCATCTAGTACACATAGGACATAATGCTTCAATCTTCCCTACGAAATGCAATGCAGTTGAATGGCCATGTCCTTGGTGCTGAAGGCAATAGATAGAACCAAGCTTAGACGAAAGTTTGGATAGTCCATGGGTATCCAGGACCATACCTGAAGCAAATCTACTTTGTTATACACACTGAGACTATCCAGAACTGTGCCTAACCCTAACCCTTACCCATTCAGGCATAAATCTAGATAGACGCGGTTCTTGATACAATAGTTGCATCCATCTGCATGTAGTATAACAATGTAACTGGGTTTTTTAGCAACATGAATGTATTTTGGATGTAATTTGATAATAGTAGAAGACGAGTAGATAGAATAAATGATTTGTTGGCATAATGACTAGTAGATAGAACTAGTTAAACTGTAATTTGTTGACTGTCTGTACAGATTGTGGATAAGATAACTGGAACAATAGCAATGGTGGATCTGGAGGGTGTTGAGAGCATCAACGGCGTGGCACTGTCTACTTTCCTAGTCACTGTTGTGCCCGAAATGGTGTCTGGAAAATCTCAGGTATGTACCAAAAAATTACAACAATTTCGCAGTTACTAAAACTACAACTGTTCTGGGATGTATTATAATTCTTGTTTTTTTAACTATACATTTATGTTTACAGTTTTTGCGGTAACTTCTTTGCCGTGAACATTCCAGTACCGTTAACAAGTAATTTTTGTCCTACTTTCTTTTTTCTGCACCTGCCGCAACCTTGAACATATGATTCTGTTATCACCTCCATTTTTCTCACACCGTGAACTTTTGCTACCGTGAACATGAAGTGCATTACATTATGCCCTGTGACACTATGTCCTATATAGTTTTCATCCATCACAAATACTAGTATAAGCTAGCCAAATAATAGGTCATTAAGTGATCCTGTAATTCTGGCGTTTTAAGAGAAAATCTCCTTACACTAGTAGTAATACACAGTCAGCAAAACCGCACTACAACAGGCCCTAGGATGGCCAACATTACAACAACGCAGACAACTTCAACGTTTAACATTAATTTATAACATAGAAACTTTATTCGCAAAATCATGCCCGAAGGCTAATTGCTTTTACAATCAAGTATAATACACATTGCAATACAGTAACAGGAGACAGGTAACAACTGTCTGGAAAAAAAACTTCTACTTAGTACACATAGGATATACTGACTCTTAACGTTTTAAAAATTAATAATTTCAGACCAGAAAATTTGTTCATTTATAAGACAATCGACAATGGACTCTTAACGTTTTAAAAATTAACAATTTCAGACCAGAAAATTTGTTAATTTATAAGACAATCGACAACCTCATCGCTATACAAATACACGCCATACTCACAAAAACAACAAAAACAAAAGGGGCACCACCTACTTTTTTCACACACTTTCCTGCTAAACCTTACAAGCTTAGCTAATTTCCACGATCTATAAAAGAGGTCCCTGCCAGGTAATCAAGTTAGTGCAACTGTCAACTGATCAGTTCAAAGCTTGGGTGACAGAGTACAGTGGCCACCCCAGCGCCACTCATTAGCTACATTAACCCCTGGACGTCTACGCTGTACATATCACATTAGTTTTTCTTTTTGATGTTGTAGGTACTGCACTACACATTTTGACATATTATTGCCTCACATTTTTGTTTTGCATCACCATCACCGGTCGCGCCAGGGCATTGACCCCCTGGACGTTACACCCCAGGAGAGTCATTGTCCAGTATTGCACAGAAATAGAAAATAGTATTGCACACACTAACGTCATGGCTTTACATGTAGGTACTGGCCGCTACTTCTTTACAAGCAGCATTCGAGAGAACGAGGGAGCTTGCAGGAAACACCACTGATACACCAGTGGAGGTGGCCAACAAACTAGCAGCGTTCATGTTCTCTGGTCAGTGTTGTTTACTCAGAAAGTATGTTTCTGTTTTGTCTTTAATTGTGATTACCGAAGGAAAACATATTGATTTTGCTACGTTTCTTTTTCTTCTTCTCCAAACAGTAACCTAAATGACAATGACCTGAACCAATGTTGTGTCTGTTACCATGGTAAAACTGATAGGTTGGGCTTTTCGAGTTTCAACATTTATTACCTAGTTTTAAGATAGATATAGAAGAAGATATTTCAATTAAACCAGTACAATAGACATGCAGGAGACATACAATGGTGTAAACATAAGGCTTTAGCGAAGGCAAAACCATGATAGATATATGTGGATGATTCCATTAAACCGTAAGCACAGTCGTGGATAAGTAGTAAGAAACATGTCTGATGCCCCTTCCTTTTGTTCAGGAACTGTGAACGTGCTAGCAGCTTCATCGGTGTTGGCTGAAAAAGGTCAAATTGCTGGACAATCCTTCTCTACAGGCCTTGCCTACGTAAGCAAGTTCCTCCCTTTTCATACAGGATTTAGCGTTAAGCCAACTATCTCTGACCATATTGTACCAGAGACGCATCAAGCTATGTAGAAAATTCGCATTTTCTGTAGCAATATCACCTTCTTACGCTCGATGGCTACCTCCCAGACGTGAGGATATGCACGGTAGAGCGCTGAGGTCTAAAAACAACATCTCTCTAATAGCATTTGGGTGCTGAACGTCCAGGTTTATAAACAGCACGTTACCATTACCGCTCTTCTGTATCTCATTGTATCATTTTATTATTAAAAAAACATGTTATTCATTGATTCATTCACTCACATCTAATTACGTAACATCCATATGCATTTGGTTACATATAACATTGCACAAGTGGAAACAACATTTTTCAACATCACAGCCAAGTCAAGAGATACACATTGCATAATGCTTCCACACAAGCAAAATACTTACGATTCCATATAATTCCACCCCAAGTGTTAAAAAGCTTTATAGCATTCAAAAAAAAATTACCATGGTGCAGTCAACATGTCGAATATAGACTATTAGCTGCCACACACAAACATCGATATTTTTTGTCTCAATCTCTGTTGAAAAAACTCGAGCTCTTTTGCATATATACATTACGGTGGTCCCGTTGCTATGTTAAAATCCTCGTTGCTAAGCAAATAGGCCCCGCCCACAACCCGGTGCGCAGTGAGCAGTGGCAGTGTTCAGATAAACAACATAACTTTCGCCCAATATAACGCATGATGCGATTATGAAGTTAGAAAAAGAATCACGCAGACACAAAAAAAATTAGTTCGCTCCCCAAATATGTATAAAATAAGAAATGACAACGTAGAATGCAATTCAAATTTCCCGCCGACTGTATGTGCGTACATAAGGTCATTTTGGGTCATTGAACTTTAACCTACCGCTACATTTCGCTAATTTACGCATCAAACATATGTTTTATCCATACTGTAAACTTTAGGACCTTTAAATTTAGATTCTCTTGTAGAATTTTTGTTGTCTGTGAGTTTTTAACTTATTTTGTCGATTTTCTAGTATGTTTTCTCCCATAATTCCATAACGGCGCAAGAGAATCACGTCATTTTTTTCAAGATGGCGGCCAGACGTTTACTTTTCCGATTGGTGTATTTTTTATCGAATTCTACCGATAGGATCGGGAGATATTGCTCAAAATACATTTTCTGCGTTTTAGTTCAAAATTCACGTGGAACAGAGGGTTTGTTTTAGAGTTATAACGAGGACGTCGGGTGAGATCAGAGCGGTTCGTTCTCACCTCCTTCCCAGGAAGGCCAGTGAAATGGAAATTTCGACCAGCGTGGCCCTATTGTTTTCCTCCCGGGCGCGAGTTTTAAAGACAACAGTGCGTTGGCTTGATGCAAATCAACCGCGATACTGTCCCTTTGAGAAGATTTTCTTTGACAGTTCAAGGAATTTTTCCAGTCGTATATATCGTATTTATCAGGGAAAGTTCATATTCCCCCAAGTGGACGCCTTTCATTGTACCGTGACAAAGAGAAGTCAAAACTACGTCGCGGTAGCGAACGAGAATAACATTTACTTCCCCACCGTATGTTTTTTAAGCTTCTTGGCTTATTTGGGCGACATCATATGGTAAATCTAAAACTATCCCCATCCGTTCCGTCGTGCAACCGTGTCGAAGTCGTCGGTTGGAACCTGAAGCTCCATGGTTTGAAGAAATAATTTTGACAAAAATCACAAAAGCTTTGTGTCGGCACGCGCGAGTAACTGAAACATAGCATCGACAGTGATCGACAAAAATGGTTGCTAGAGATAGAACGCTGAACATTGCCTTGAATGTGTTATTTGGGATTTGAAATGCAGGTAGGTGTATAACCTTCTTAGCTACACGAATTGAAAAAAAAAACATGGGGCTATAGGTTTACTAGTATAAACTGTGACACAAAATGGCGTCGGTTTGTAAACAAAGGAAAAAGGAGGGAACCGGTCTAATGCAGATATGTTGTCAAAAAACTCTGGCTTCAGCCGACTTTCTTCTACAAAGATTTACTATTATACTTCTACTATTTCTAAAATCTTCTTAGTACGGTTATGTTTTTAGTACGGTCTATCATTTGACTCCAGAACGTTACGATGTATTCCCCGTATTAGACGAAGTACTCGGCACGCCGGCCAAACAATCATGGCTTCTGTGCTGTTTCCGCGCCGTAAACCTCGTTTAGTAACAGGTACAACAAGGATACATGTATAAGAATGTATCTGAATAGTATGTAGTGTGTTTTTGGTAGATGTTCTTGAACAATCACTCGAGTCTGGAATTTTTTAGACATATTCTATATGTTCTGTCATGCAGCCGATGCCGGCGAGTTCCGTGCCGTCTGAAGTATGCAGTAGCGCGATCAAGGCTGATTAGACCCGGGGAACTTTAATATCTGTGGAATTTTTTAGTGTGTTGAATTACGAAATAAGACAAATTGTAGCACAGTTGCGAATTATGGTTGGTGGCATAAGGAAATTAAACATGGCTTGAATGAGTGTTGGGGAATTGTAAATTGTGTGGATTAAAGAACAATAGGGGCGGGGAAAGGCGCGCATATGAAAGGACAAGATCGCGGGAAAAAAACAGCAACTCGAAGTATCACCAAAACATGCCAAGGCCCCGCCCGCTAAAGCGTGAACCAATCAGCTATTGTTGCCAATAGTGAAATGACTGATTGACACTGATTTCTCATTAATATTAATGATTTCCAAGTGAGGATTTTTGATGGCCTTTTTGACCATCATACATGATTAGCTGCCTAAAACATGCAAAGATTGACATGTATCCACGTGTCTCAATCTCTAGTGTCAAGAAGCCACGACGATAGCTTTCCAAGCCTTGGACATTCTGGACGACATTTATCTAAACAGGCTGATGCCAGAATTCTCAGATCCAGAAATCTTTGCAGACCACTCCATGTCCAAGGTACAGTCTTGTCTCTTTCTTTATTTTTGCAATTTCAAACCTAGTTCAATTATTTGATTTTGAAGCCTAGTGAGAAAAATTATTTTAGCAAATAGAGACAATAGAGGACAAAACACACTATTCTGCCAATATTGTTTTATATTGATTAATTAACATAACATAGTATTATTGTTGCATGAATGAACTCTTGACGTTTAAGAAATTAAGAATTTCAGACCAGAAAATGTGTTAATTTGTTTTTAACTGGCATGCATCCCTATTTAGATGTCTCTTCTAGCTTTTATTAAAATCCATTCTATGCCCAGGTCCACATCAGAATCAAACGTGAAAACCGGACGAGGCTCGCGGGAAGAGTGTACCATGTGAGCGGTGACAGTGACTCACTGGTCAGGGTTCCTTCCTTTCCTGACCTGTTGGGGGATTCTTGCAACGATAGTGACGTTGTTGGAATCCAGGTAATAATTTATATTCATAATAGAAACGAAAGACACTTTCAGAAAGACATACTTTGGTTTCAACAATAGGTAATGAAGTAAAGTCTTATTTTATCAAGCTTGTATGCACCATTCCATGTAAGCTGTACTTTCAGTATGGGTATTTTTTTTTAATCATTCTTTTTATTGTTTCCAAAATTCACACAAAAGAAAGCATGGCACAACGAACAAAATATCTGAAACCATAACAACAAAACTAAATAAAAACCAGTAAACAATATAGATGATATAACAGAGTGTTACAAATTATTAAAAAAAGTATGGGTATTACAAGGTCACTGTGCTGCTTTATTTGGGTCTTTGTTTTCCACCCCAAATAATAATATCACTCAAGGTAGATAGAGGCTAGATAATTACCAGATTGTATCAGATACTGCAGTATCAATTTAAAGCCTTTATGAAATAAAGGCTAAGCTTTAACTTCCAGCACTAACTAGCAAAGTATTGTGACTTAGCCCAAATGTTCGGTTGACTCCATCAACCTTGTTCACCGAATGGACCCGTCTACTCTTAGAAGTTTTCTGGAACGTATGGCCCCCTACTACAGTCACGTGTCTCTGACGTCACGTTCCAAGTGTAGACGGGTCCAAGTAATTACTAGTAGTAATGTTAAAGCTTAAGCGACGGTCACAACCCGCCGTACGTGCTTCTGCGTGCTGTCTACGTGCAAAAACGTGGGCAAACGTAGGGCATCCGTGCGTGGTGAGTACCACCTCCGTACGGAATCCTACGGATTTGGGAGCACGCAGACACGCCGTAGAACTTTAAGTGCATGTAAACTTTTTCTACGTGCGGTCTGCGGATTCACCACCCGTGCGTGCGAGTACGAGCGACGCGCGTGCCCCGTACGTGTCGTGCGGAAGAAGCACGTGTGGATACGGCCAACTTACGGTAAAGTTGCAATCGCACAGAGATCGTGCGTTGTAAGCACGTACAACTCACTTACCACTTGCGCAACATACGATGCACGCAACCGCTCACGGCCAGACGTGGCGTGCAGACCACACTCTTACACCTCGCAAAACCGTGCGAGTGACGTGCGTCGATGCCACTCCTTCCCCACGTTTTCAGAAAAAAACGTAGCAGACGTAGCCTCCCAAAAAACGTACGGACAAAAAGCACGCACGGCGGGTTGTGACCGTCGCTTTAGTCTTTATTTCATTATAACTCGTACGTACCTACACGGATGAACTTTCATGCTAATTCAAAGCCTTGTTCTGTTACACTTTTTTTCTCAGTTTCTGGAGTCGAACGTTAACCCTTACGAGTACTCCAACAACTCCCGTGAGATCGGCACAGACGTCACAGGTCTAGGGGTGAAGTGTGGGAACCGGACTCTTCCGGTTTCCGGTCTAACCGATCCCGTCGACATTTTGACCAGAAGATCTGAGAACAACAGTCTTGCAGAACTGATGTATGTGTTTGAAGCATCGGAACCACGTGGGAACATGGCGGTAGGTTTAGGTTTAAAGCAGCCCCACAGGTTGTATACTATGGGGGGGGGGGGAAGAAGCTATTATAGATATACATGTAGATTTAAAATCATATTGCACAGCGTTATGTGTAGTTTTCAAGTTTTTGTTGTGATTTTAGTGTTAGTGTTTTAGTTGTACTGTAGTAGTAGTAGTAGTAAGCCTTTATTTAAACTCGAAAGCTTGTTCGGTACATACATATGACCGCTTTTCAACGAGGTCGAGGGTGAGGGCGGGGTCACGGATTACAAATCAAACCAAAATATAATACAAAATCAAAACAAAATGCAAATCAAAATATAATATAATACAAAAATAAATAGTAAATCATCAGTCCGTTATCAGTCCAAGTTCCTTATCATACTTCTAAATGTTCCCAATGACTGGGCTGCTCGTACATATGGTGGTAAGGAGTTCCACACAGTCGACCCCGAGTACCTCAGTGACCGCCTGTACACTTCCAGTTGGGGCCTGGGTATGATAAGGTTGTCCGATGTGCTCTGTCTGGTGGATCTGGAGGCTTCATCTGTATACCGGATGAACACCCCTCGCATATGTGGTGGTAAAGAATTGTCCAAGGCCCTATACACTAGCATAGCTTTATGTTGGCGATGTAGAGTTCTTTTATGTACAATGTAGACGACATTTGGTCGCATTTAGCCCTTCGGGACAGGAATGTGCAATAAACATTGAGCTTTTTCAGGAATATGACATTGCAACCCAGAACTACTGGCTGCTTATTAACCACGAGGCAATGTACATGTATGCTTTGAATTATTGCATGATACTTTCCAGCATTTAGAGATGTCACTTTTCATGACACTTATAATTAGGCCATGTTGATTTGATTATATGGATGACGTCTGCGCGCGCATGAATTATCGGCCGTTTCAAAAAAAAAAGTTTTCAACCATACTGTAAATCGTACAAAACAGTTGCAAAATGAGCAAAAATATACCGTAAGTTACAAAAAAACCATACTAATGTCGTAGAATGCCAAAATCAAACGAAAAAAGACGAAATTGTAAAGAAATGAACTTGAAGACTAGATTATTCGCCAAACCATATTCTGTCCCATTTGTTTAACCCTCATGACCACGTAGATTTCATAATGAAAACAACTTTTTGCAAAACTTTTTTTATTGGCACGCGCGCATCAATTTTGGGGTTCCCGGAGGATGTCATCCATATAATCAAATCAACATGGCCTTAAATAAAAAAAAAGAATTTCAAAACATTCTGCTAGCTTTAATCTACAATATTTTGTCTCAGATTTTTCAGTTCTTCGTGAGGAAAAATCACTCTGCATTAAGCATAGAGCTGGACTTCCCAAGCCTGGACCTGGACTTCAACAATACCCTCTTTCCGCCTGACGTTACCATGTTACTCCGCAAGGAGGCGCCACCAACACCAGAGGAGTACGACTGGACTGCGACGCTGCCCGTTCCTGATGAGCAGATAGTGTCCATTCCATGGACAAATGGAAAAAACCTGACGTCAAACCCCTACCATTGGCTACTCTCACCAGAGGAAATTAACATCACCACTGATGATGTGGACACTATGAAAGACTACTTCATTGGTAAACGCCAAGTAGACACACAGTGTATTCATAACACATCAACAGTTGTCACTCTTTTTGTTACTCCTGCACGTTTGTTTTCTCTCATTATGTTTGTTCATTATTATGTTGATTTACCTTATGTACTTGTATTTATTTTGTGAACTCTTGGTTTATTATGTACAGATTTGTTTACTTGCATTTACGATCTGCTATGAGTTCACTTATTTGTTCACCATTATTGTATATAGCCTACCTTTATTTGCGTTCATATTTTGTTTGGATTCTGTTATCTGTATCTTTGATCGTCTTTTGTTTATGTCCTTGGTATAACTTATTGAATCGGTGTCGTATAAGCCCACACGGGCTGGGCGCGGGATAGCGCACAACACGGAAATAAAGTATCATTCATTCATTCATTCATTCATTCATTCATTCATTCATTCATTCATTCATGTCTTTTTTTTTAATAAATTCCATCCAGATTCTAAATCATGCTCATATTTTGGCATGCTCAAATTTGACCGTGGCAACTTTTAAAGCGCATTTAATCTCTCATCTCACACTGCTAACTTCTTGTAAATAGATTACTCTCAATTCACTTTATTATATAGGAAAATATGGATGTTTTAGTTTAACAAATTGGTAATCTTATGTCTTCTGTTTTTTTGAGTAAATTCCATTCAGGTTCTAAATCATGCTTATATTTTGGCATGCTCAAATTTGACCGTGGCAACTTTTAAAGCGCATTTTATTTCTCATCTCACACTAGTTACTTTTGTAAGGTAGATTACCTCAATTAAGTTTATTATATAGCAAAAGATGGCTGGTTTAGTAGTTAACAAATTGGTAATATGCGTTTCGTTTATTTGAATAAATATTCAGATTCTAAATCATGCTCATATTTTGGCATGCACAAATTTGACCGTGGCAACTTTTAAAGCGCGTTTAATTTCTCATCTCACACTTTTAACTCTTTGTAAGGTAGATTACTCTCAATTTAGTTTATTATATAGCAAAATATGGCTGGTTTAATTTAACAAATTGGTAATCTTATGTCTTTTGTTTATTTGAATAAATTCCATTCAGGTTCTGAATCATGCTCATATTTTGGCATGCTCAAATTTGACCGTGGCAACTTTTAAAGCGCATTTAATTTCTCATCTCACACTACTAACTCTTTGTAAAGTAGATTACTCTCAATTAAGTTTATTATATAGGAAAATATGGCTGGTTTAGTTTAACAAATTGGTTATCTTATGTCTTTTGTTTATTTGAATAAATTCTATTCAGGTTCTGAATCATGCTCATATGTTGGCATGCTCAAATTTGAGACGTGGCAATTTTAAAGCGCATTTAATTTCTCATCTCACACTACTAACTCTTTGTAAGGTAGATTATTCTCAATTCAGTTTATTATATAGCAAAAATGGCTGGTTTAGTTTAACAAATTGGTAATCTTATGTCTTTTGTTTATTTGAATAAATTCCATTCAGATTCTGAATCATGCTCATATTTTGGCACCAACGGTTGAGGGAAGTCCTTGTCTTTGTGGCTGTTACAATAAATAACAAAAATAACAACCATTTTAATATAGTAACTGTAAACAATAAGTGTGATACAGATAATTTATAAACACTTAACTTGGACTTTCCTTTATTTTTTATCAGGTGTACAGCTCGGCCCTGAGCAGGACCTGGGGAGGGGAGACGTTGTGAACTTCACCCTGTATGTCTTTGAAACATCCTGCGTTTATTTTGACGAAGATATCCACTTGTGGCAAAGTGATGGTTGTGAGGTATTTATTTATTCACATATATTTATTGAGTATTAGGCTAAAAGCACAAATTGCTTATGTAACAATTTCTACTCAAAAACATAAAACGAGAGTAAAACGCAATGACAAAATACATACAATATTACAAAATGGGTAAAAGAAAAATGATTAGAAACAAGACAAGTTGGTGATCTAATAATTACGAGAATCTACCCGTACAGTAAATGAAGTTTTGAGCTACGTTACAGAGTTGTAAAAGTGAAAGTGATGTGGACCGTCGTAGCAGTAAGGAACATAAAGAACTGTCATTTAGATGCTGTAGCTCTACAACGTTGGAAACAGATGATAACAGAGTACTTCTTCGATTAGAATAAAGTTTCTAGTGTAGAAAGTAGTATCCAGTTGTTTCACTATGATAGACATTACAATACTGTTGAAATTGCATTACCTTCTTACTGTGAGGTAACTAGAGGCAATTCTTTCTGTTAGTTTTCTGCTTTTAACCACATCATTCATAAAAAAAATTAAGAGTCATCTATAATGGTTATGGCATTTCATAGGAAGTTTACGTTACAGTCAACTACCACCTCTGCATAAAAGAGCAACTGGTCATTATTGTCAGTTTTTGATGGCCTCTCAGATTACTTTAGGCCATTGGCCACCTATCTACTGTAAAGTCTCACAGTGTTACCATTTACATGTATATCCTAGAGACAGAATTGTCAGATGTTTTACTGTACAGTATGTATTTTGATAAGGCCATGTTGATTTGATTATGTGGTAGCGTCCCCAAGACTAATGCGAGCTTGCGGATAAGAAAAGTTTGGATCCCTAAAAGTTTCCTTCATTATGAAATCTATGTAATCAGAAAGGTTGAACAAATTGCCAAACACGAAGAGTATGGCATGGCGAATAATAACAGACTCGTCATTTTCATTTCTTCACATTTTCTTTTTGTCCTTAATTGATCTCGGCATTCTGTGACATTAGATCGTTTTCCAGTACTATTTTACGACATATATTAACTCCATATAATCAAATCAACATGGCTTGAGAGATACCAGCTTACAAGTTACAGATGCTTTTTTCTTGACATTAAGCAATCATTTTATCTTTAACATACCAACTATTGTAGGTTGGTCTGATGTCTAACACCAGCCACATCCACTGCCGCTGCTACCATCTGACCAAGTTTAGCGGCTTTGTTGCGCCGAACCCTCTCAACATCGCAGAGGCTCTGTCAGCCAACGTTCTGGAGAACCCATCAGGACTGGTCCTGGTCCTGACTGTGTTTGGAGCCTACCTTGTGGGCATTGTTTGGGCCAGGAAGTCTGACAGGAGGGATGTAGTGAAGGTATAATCCGTATTAGGTCCTGATGGATCAACTCATAATAGTGGAGCAGATAACATCAAATTTTGGAGGAATCTTTCAAATTGTGATACAAGCACCAAACTTGGTACAAATACTCATGAGACATTACTCTTTTGAAAAAGTACGCGGGCCACTTGGTTTCACTTTTGGCGCCCCCTAGCGGCGCTTTTTGGTACTACAGCCGACCTTCCGGGCTTTGTATCTCCTGTTCTAAACATGTTACAGTCATGATTTTTATGTGGTAGAAAGCTGTTAAAGTAAGGAAGAAGTGACGCAAGTAATGTCTCATGAGTATTTGTACCAAGTTTGGTGCTTGTATCCCAATTTGAAAGATTATTTCAGTTATCTGCCCCACTATAACTTCATGTTCGTAGCCGGGGCGGGGGGTTTGGGGGTCTGTAGGTTTGGAAGAGCGACTGAAATGTCCAGTTTTTATCGAAAGGTCTAAGATTTTCCGTTAAAACATTCTTTAAACTAATTTGTATCACCAGCGAGGCTGTAATCTTAGAAAACTGTTCACTTTTTCATCGAATAAAAAGTTATGTCTAATTTTATTTTTTAAACGCTCTGAAGAACGCAGTAAATGCCATTTCATTTCAGAAGGTTCGATTTTCCAGATTTTCAGGGGGACTATGCCTAACGATGATGAATATTCCCCAGTAATCTGTTTAATGGCAAAGTATATATAGAGTATACATTTACGCTTTTTTGGATGATTGCTTTTGTTACTTAATTTTATTTTGTTTTGTTTATTATGTATATTATTTGTTTCTTTGATTTCTGTATTATAAGCTGTTTAAAAGAAGAGAATACAAACAAAAATGTGGTAATTAATCTGTTCTAGGCTGGGATTGGGATCCTGCCTGGCCACAGACTCAACCCCAGACAGGACTGTCAGTACCTCATTACTGTTTACACTGGCTTCAAGGGAAAAGCTGGGACAACCGCAGAGGTAGGACTGTAGGCTTGGTTTGTTCTGAATAATTATGTTTACCGAAAGAAAACATATTGTTTTTACTCAATTTCCTCTTCTCCAAACACTAACCTCTGACCTGGCCAATGACATGGTTTGTTGACGTCTGTCACCATGGTGACTGGTGTTGGCCGGGTTACATACATTGTAATGGTGCAAACTTCATGGTCTGCTCTGCTCCTGTCACCATATACTAGTAGTACATGTATGTGAATATGTTTGAGTAAAAATTAACAGGGCAGACCATGACTGCGGTATGAATTAGATGTCGGTTAACTTGAGGAATGAAGCTTTACTTTATTTGTTTATTTGTTTATTTGAAGGATCTCAATTAATACTATTCTTCCTGGAGTCTTAAAAACTACATTACAACTTTATAACACAGACGTATATACACTTGCTTATTGCCACACATAAAATACAACAACCTGTAACAATTACTTAACCTATCCTATATACAACAAGTAATAAGGTATATGTAAGAGATTGTTTGAGAGGTCAGTCAAGGTCAGTTATTTACCTGGTCTAGTCTTGTACAGTCAAACCTGTCTATAGCAGACAAGTGATAGGGCTGTTAATGCTTTGATCGGTGGAAAAATATTCCAATGAACCAAAAAGTGGCCTCGACAGCAAGGTAGCCTTTATGTAGAGGTGGCACTTGTACAGGTTTTACTGTACTTTGGTTGGCAATATTAAAACCCAGACTGGTTTGATCCTACATAAAGGCAACCACAGACTCTTATCGATAAGTATATCAGTATACGTGAGCTATGTATCTAAGGACATTGCCTGTGTATGGATGGAAAATACACACTGTTATCAGTTCCAAGGACAGCACTCACACAAGGGTGTGCTCTTGATCCTCATGCATGTTTTAAGTGTTGTACATCCTCTTGACAAAGGGCTGCAATGCTTTCCAATGCATGGGTGAGCATTATTTGATGTCCTTCAAACACAGAAGCATATTTGCTTACTGACCCCCCCCACACACACACACACAAACCAAGCATGCTACTTCCTTACTTCCTTCTCCTCTCTGCCTATCCCTGTAACTATAATATTCTTATGGCTTCACCATAAGAATATGAAGTCATATTGTTTTTGCTCACGTTTCTCTTCCTCCTTCTCCTTCCATTTCTTTAAATTGATTCAACTCCTTCATTTTTCGGCCAAATAACATGAAATTCGGCATGGAGGTAGAGTGGGCAAATACCCCCAGGCGTTATTTTTATTTTTATAATACAGGCTTTTAGAATGGCTTTATTTGAGCTTTTTGTCTGTGTTATAGAAAATGTATTATAATAGCAGTGTGTTACCGTATTTAGGCATGACTCATCAGAACGGCATGCAAAGCAAGCAACCAATAGGCATGTAGGTTTTCTGTATTCTTCTTGCTGATTGGCTGTTGGGATTTTATTGGATTAACTCCTGTACAAAGCCGTGCCATCTTGATAGTATGAACTCAAGTGATTTGGTAGGTACATGTACATGTATGTCAAGTTTTCCTGCTCAAGCATTGCAATGCGGGACATAAACGCTTATTTTTATCTTGAAAATCAAGTTTGCATTATGCAATTAAAAATCCTAACCAATAATATAGGGGATAGCTATCCAACTGTTGTCACTTCATATTATAACTAGAGGTCGGAGATCTCATGTCTTCGTCAGAGGTACATCGTTCTAGAGAAATTAACATGCGTATTATTCACTCTTTTTAATAATCAATTTGGTCTAAAGAACAAAAGAATCTCTGTACTGTTTTTATGGTACAGAACACCCTGAAACGGTTTGCCGCAGATTATACAGATGCGTCGTCACCCGTGTTAGCCCCCCCCCCACGTCATTGAGTTTGGACTGTTAGTGGAAAAAAAAAACGTTCAAGAAATTCTTACTGTGTTGAAAGTGTCACGACAGCGCCGCAAAATATAATAAGAGAAGATGTTATAAAGGAAAGAATCAGAACAGGGTGACAACTGCTGTTTTGTTAATTTGTCTTTATGACTAATAGAAGACTTGTTTCTTGTGTTCTTTGTGTCCTAACATTTGTACTTCTACAGTTAGTATATTCCAAATCTATGCATCTCGTTTTTCGGCCCTTCGTGTTTTTATTGCGCGCTTGCCTTAAATTTAAGGTAATTAGATTTAAGGTCTCCAGTGGACGTCATCCATAGCAATTATTTGGTGTGGCCGTAGAAAATAACCTGACATATGTCCAACCTATCCTCCCCCTGCTGAAGTTATAGTACAATCCCTCAATGTAACGTCATTTGATCCCATCCCATTATGGGGTTCCCCAGCTATATCCAGCTGTCGGCTGTCTCCAAGCAGATGTAGGTGGGGGATTTCTAAACACAAAAGGTCCTATTACGGGGACATAACGACCTCCACGACTCTTATCTTTGAACTCAATCTTGGAGACCACGACAGTAATATGCCTATCAAATTTCATTAACTTCCATCCACACATACAAAAGTTATCCTGCTCACAAGAAAAATTAACAAAATGCCCCCTGTAGTCACAACGAAACCCCCCACGAAGCTCAGTAACGAACTTAACCTTGGTCCCGACAATAGTAAGCACCACACCAAGAATTATAATCAACATTTTACAAATACTTGAGTTATCTTGCTAACAAGCCACAAACTCAAAAGGTGCACTAACGTGACGCACGGACCCCCCACGAAGCCGAAACTTGTACTTGACTTTGGCCTCAACAGCGGTAATATGCCTGCCAAAAATCATGGACGTCAAATCATGCCTTCCAGAGTTATATCGCAAAATCCGCAGTTCCCCACACTCCGGCGAGACAATTTCATAGTCCTTCTGACGAAGACAATTATATCAATGTAAATAAAGAATGGTTTTCCCTTGTGTTTCTCCTTCTTTCCCTGCCATGTCGTAAAATGTGGTGAAGCCATCCACTAAAATTTGCTCCAAAACAAATTTCGGCCTTTTTATTACTCTCTAAGCTGTGTCAAATTTCACATGTTTTCCCCAGGTAACTATTGTCCTGTACAGCCAAGACCACGAAAGCCGTCCCTTCAGGCTCAGTGATGAGAAGAGGATTCTGTTTGAGAGAGGCAGCGTGGATTCCTTCCTCGTGTCGACATCTCAGCCGCTGGGGGCCTTACGCTTCGTCCGTGTGTGGCACAACAACGGAGGGTACAGTCCGGGATGGTGAGAATAGATAGATAGATAGATGACTGGTTTATTTGCAACAGGTGCTCAGACATACCGTTGCAGCCTTATCTGGCTGAATTAGGGCATGATACAAATCTTATGTCCATCACAATTCTATACCCTTACAGACAAGGTACTATTACTAATTCATCAAAGTTAATTATACAAACATAGGCTAAAGGACAAGGTGCGTACTGGTTAACAATCCCTCTTCATCACAACCAAAAGTGCACAAAATATGTAGCAAACGCTTCAGGGCAGACGTCACAATAGCGTTGCGCAGTAGAGGCCCAAAAATGGGAACAATTGTAGTCCCTAGTTAATATCCCGTGAACATTTTCGGCTTTTGGGATATAATGACAGACTTGAGTGATGAGGTCTGACCCGCCCATGGCGGATGGATACATGCAAAATAGGTCAAAAGTAGAATTCGTTTGCTGTTGTCAGCTGTTGTAAGAGTTAGAGCTTGCCAACCCCCGGTTTTATTTGGAAAGTCCCTTTGACCCTCTCTGGTGCAGAAGAATTTTGAATCTGAAATGTTAGAAGTACTTTCATTGGGACTTGTTTAAGTGTATTTAACCATAGGTTCCTATGGCCAAAGGTAATTGTACTGTCTGACTTTAAATGTGCTATTTGCCACTGTCATGAGGGCAATGATATATATCCTTTATTATTACATTCAGGACCTACAGGCTTTCAACTACAGAACTGGTGTAATAGTTACATACTTACATACTTACAGGGACACTTACTAATACTAAATCTTCTCTCTAATGCAAACTATAAGGTTTGACTTCTTCTTGTCTCTTGGTGATGTTAGATACCGGTTTTAGACCTACAGCTAGGTCCTGCCTAACTTTTGTCCGTCTTTATTTTCTTCACATTGTTTGCAGGTTCTTGAGCCAGATTGTAGTGACAAACCGGGGAGACAACACACCGAACTTCTTCGTTTGTAACAGGTAAGAAAACCTACGGTACTACATGCATATCTCACTGCTGCAATGGATAGTCCTTGAAATACCAGTGCACCAGCCCCAACTTTAAGACTAGGTGTTAACACTAATTATGTTTACCTTAAATTGGAGAGTTAACACAGTGTTTTTGTTTTGTTTCTTCTTCTTCTTCCATTTTCGTTCAAAACAAATGATCTGGACCAGCCGGCTGTCACCATATGCATGGTAACTGGTGCTGTAGCAGACACCCTGTGATTTTAGGTTATACTATGTAGCAAGACAACTGGAGGGACTGCTCACCTTACACAATTAATATGTCTGAATAAGAATATATGAACAGGGCGGTAGTTTTTTTTTCAAATGGTAAAAAAGCATTTTGCTTTACAAATGTTAAAAAAAATTAAATATTTTCCTCCCAAAGATGGTTTGCTCTAGACAGAGATGACGGTCAGATCAGTCGAGTCCTTATTGAAGCTGATCCAGTCGAGATGAAGAAATTCCGCAACTTGTTCCTGGCCAAAAGTTCAAGGTAGACTTTTTCTGTGTTATAACTTGTAATGAATCAACCGGTGTTCAGAAAGTGCGAAATGGAACGAAATGGACGAAATGGAACGAAATGGGACTAAATGAAACGAAATACATGTATGTATGGAGTACGTTAGAACGGCGACGTTAGTGTCCGCTCGACGTCCATTGTTGGAACGGCGACGTTAGTGTCCGCTCGACGTCCAACGTTGGAACGGCGACGTTAGTGTCCGCTCGACGTCCAAACGGCAACGTTAAGATTGGTGGTATTCTTAGAACCGCAACGTTATAAGATCGATCAAGGTGCGCTAATAATAAAGTAACCACAACATTATAAAATCGATCAGGGTACGTTAATAATAAAGTGAGTTTTGAGTTGAGTAATAAAATAGTTTTTTTTTCTTTGTGTAGTAACTTGTTGCGGCATTATTTTAGCCGAAATGTTTCGTCCTTGTTGTCGATGTTCTGCCACAAGAAGTGTTGCCGATCTCAAAAACAACGTCCAGAGGAAATAAAGAGACAACTGCAGAATAAGTGTTAACTCGCGGGGATGTCTAAAAGTAACTTGTTGCGTTCAAGAAACACTGGCGGTTCATGCGCTAAATGCTTGTATTTTTGCACCAACCACACAGTTAGAGAGAGCCTACTACTGTTGTTACAGATTTTCTATTCATCAAATGAATATCTAACAAATCAACTAATTCTTTAATATTTTTTGTGTTATTGCCACACAGGGACATGAGTGATGGTCACCTGTGGTTCTCCGTGGCAGGCCGCCCGGCCCGGAGTCCCTTCACCCGAGTCCAGCGCCTGTCCTGCTGCCTGACCCTGCTCTACAGCACCATGGTCACCAACATCATGTTCTTCGGCCGCGGGGACGACTTCGACCCGCCTGAGCCAATCAGGATAGGCGGCATAGAGATGGACCCACCCATTTCCCTTCCACAGGTATGGAATTTGATTTGATTTATTTGCACATAAGTTATAAAAGAAAAGTTTACAAAACATGATACAATGGACTTGAAAGTAAACGTGGAGGGTGGGGAAAGGGGCAGAACGGCTTGTTCGATATTTTCCACCATCATGATCTTACATCATTCCAATTTTGTCAAATTAAATATAATTGACAATGAATAAGTAATGGAAAAGTACGAAAAACAACCATACAATGAATCAGTGAATCAATTTTCTTTGTTTAAAAACAAAATTATTATGGTTTGCAATAAAAACAACAACATTACATTGAATCGGTGACAGGCTCAGCTCTGTCCCAGAAATAAATTTCAATTGTCTCGAAGTGAGGATGAACTGTCCCAACCTGTTTTTCTGGATTTAAGTATTGTACGACTTCAACTTGAAGTCAACTTTATTTTGCTAACGTTCTGACTCCCAGCTCTCATGATGCGCTATAGCTGCAGAGCAGACAGGAAACGGAACTATACCATTATTACGTCACAGTTTGTTTACCTGTTCTAAAGAACATTCTAGAACGGTCAGTTAAAGAATAAAGATCATTTCAAAGTCAGCTATGTTTGATTTTTGCTGTGTCTAGTTGTGTTGACATAGCATTACATGCCGCATGGGTGATTTAGTTGTGACATTAGACGAAAGTAGTACTGTATTAAAAGCCCTACATTAGGCTAACGCTACACAAACACACACCGCGCTACGCACCCCTGTACAATTTAAACGTCAATTGACCGGCATTCATTGCGGTAAACAAACTGTGACGTAATAATGGTATAGGTCCATTCGGTGGGGGGGGTGGGGGGGTTCGGAGCCAAAAGCTGGGACGTGTGCCTGATAAATGAAAAAAATAGCTAACATTCTGATGTTGATCATTTTCTATTGTCAAAAATGACTTGTCTGTTTAGTTTTAAGTTGTCCCGGCCTATATCTTACTGGACAGTGTCCATTTGTGTCGTTAGCGACATGAAGAAGAATCTATAACAAGTGTTCACATATACACCTTCCAGATATATGCTTGTACTCGTGTAATAAAAAAAAATTACGGCTCTCAGTGGCAGATATGAGATGTTGTCACATCGGCGCACCAAATCCGTAAGGTGTTTTGGCACCCAGACAGACAGATTAGCCTAAGAGTCACTCCACCGTATAGGTGGGGAAGTCGTGTAAAGTGCCTTTCCCAAGGGCACAACGTCGGGCCACGGTGAGTATCGAACCCGGGACATCTCGGTTCCGAGTCCAACGCTCTAACCGTTGCGCCACCGACGCCACTCGTGTAATAAGTAGCAAAATATGAAACATTAAATTTTATACTTAGTACTTAGTAATCACTGATTATTAAATGTTTCAGATTATGATAGGTCTACAGAGCGCTGCCATCATCATGCCTGTCAACTTGATCATCGTCTTCTTGTTTCGAAACTCTTGTTCCACTTCGTCTGTTAAAAATGAGAAGACAGCATCAAGGAATAATTTGTGTTTGAAAAGCCTGACGAAATGTTTGCCTCACAAGAAACAGATTGACAAAGAAGCAACAAAGAAACAGACTGAGCCTCTGCCGCTGTGGCACCGCAAAGAGAATGATACGGTGCAGAAAAGCCAAAGTCGTGATTATTCTGAGAAAGTCTGCATACAACCGATTAATCTGTCTTTTGATGACTCAATGGCGAAAATCGATGCCAGCAATGTGACAAATCCAGAGGATGTTGAATCAACACAAAACTCTTCACTTTCTTCGTGGTCTGTGTACATAGGTAACTATGTTTTATCTTGTTGACCTATTCTGTTGACCTATTCTGTTATCAAAATGTCTTATTTCCATCTCAAAATAAAGTTCAACGTCAAATTAGCACTGTAAAAGGACGAAACATTGATTGGGCAATGAAAACAGCACCATTTTTAATTTAAGATCCTCGCAGAAGTATGTATCAGATCCTGTACCTGTATCAGCATACTCAGTATAAATGCAATTCAGCGCAACATACCAGCATGTATAAGATACCCTGAATATAAAAAATAAAATAAAAAATAAAAATTTCGTTGCATTCTTGTTTCTCTCATAGTTGAAGACTGCAGATTACTTTCAAATTGTTCCATTGCATTTCCAAAAGTACAAATCATTACCTGTACCTAAACCTCTGTACTGGTACCACAGTGCCTGAGATGTTACGTTTTATTCACATTAATTTTATATTATCTTATGTATGCAATACTATGGTTTGGCAATAAGTTTTCCTCCTTCTGTACAGGCTGGCTGCTAGTCTGGACGGCGAGTTTTGTGGCGGCGTTCTTCACCGTCCTGTACAGCCTGAGTTTCGGACGTGCGAAGGCGGAGGCGTGGCTCTTCACCTTCCTGACATCATTCCTGACCGACCTGTTTCTCATACAACCCTTCAAACTGATGCTGGTGGCTGTGCTGTTTGCTTTGCTAGCAAAGGTACTACAGTCAAACTTGTACTACTGAACACCTTAGTCTATATATTGAGGACTGCCCGGCCATTGATATATGGTTTAACCGTTACTAATGACCACCTCTGCATAAGGACCACATGGCTATTGATATGCTACTTAGTAATACATCGATAAACAGTCAAGTCAAACCAGTCCTATTGACCATTTCAGCCTAAAACTCACTTGCACTTAACTGTGGCCAGTTTTTGGTTCTTCAAATCATTCTTACCATTGCCTAGAATCTCTCTCCTTTGAATGTCCATCTCTCTCCTTTGAATGTTCTTGAGTCGGGTTTAGCAATTATTACCATAGTGATATTCATATTTTGCCATTTTGCTACTGATAATTGCAGAACTTCTCATACAATTTAGACTCAGGTGTGAATGTATACTATATTTGTATTGACTCAGTTATTTCCGGTAATGTCACAAATTGTATAAATTTTGTTGTTGTTGTTGTTGGCTACTTCTTCGATTCCGAAGATCTTCAGGAAAGAAGTCCCCTGCAAGCCTGTTTGCTTTTTACATGCAGCTTTGGTATTTTCCATTTTTTTTATCCTTGTGGTAGAAACCAGTAGAAGATGAAGACCCTGTCCCAGCTCCGCTGTATCAGGATGAAGAATATCTAGAGGAAAACACACAACAGGTATCTTTTACTCACGAACACTCTTAGTCTATCCTAGAACTAAAGACAGAAAGTGGAACTCGCTGATGCCAAGTACAGTAGGGCATTATCATTCGATAGCTTGAAATAATGCTTAGAGTTAGATGTTCAAAGGTCAGTTATATCAAGTCATTCGGTGCAATGTAGCCAGCCGCCGCGCAGTGTGCCTGCGAAGTTATGCCGGAGGGCGGTTGGTTATACCGGTTATACAGACACAGATACAGAGCACAACTGGAAAAGTAACATTCGCAAAGCAGGTGCATAATGTTTACCTTCGCATATGGTCTACTCTGTTAAGTAATCAAATACATTCATGTATGTGGTCAGACAGGAGTATAAATCCCTCTTACTATAAAATTGTAACATTATGTAACCCAACACCAGTTACAGTGGTGACAACAAATCGGGTCATTGGCCAGGTCAGAGGTCTGTGTTTGGAACAGAAGAAGAAGAAGAAACGTAGCAAAAACACTATGTTTTCCTTCGGTGAACATAAAAAGAACCGTTGCTTGTTTGCCCTGTTCGCATGTGTTGTTATGTTCCTGTAATAGTTCCAAAGCTTACACAGTGGTAACGTTGATGAATCTACCAGATAGAGATTGACATTGTCCAGAACAAGAAAAGTCTATACAATATATCAAAAAGTATCACTTTTTCGTAAGATCTGGTTTGCCTTTCGTCCAGGTGGTGAGAAATGATACAAGACTGTGGCGTACGGCTACCGGATGGGCTCGATATTTTTGGACAGAGGAATCTAACGTGCAAGACCAACGCAATGAAAAGGTAAACTTTGGTTTTTTAAAACAGTTTAAAAACTGTTTATCATATTCTGGCAGTCTACATGTACGTATAAGGTACAAGTGTTCATGTCGGAAAGAGAGTGACAATACTTTCTAACCAGTTTAGTTCAAATGAACTCAACCAACAGTGGTTAATTAAGACAGGTGCTGTATTATACAGGGGATATTCTACTAGCTCTCAGCAAAACTACTCCAGTACAGTAGCTAGCGTGACGGGCAAAGGCCACTATTTCCCGTAGGCACAGAGGGCCAATTTTAGTCCTTTTGTGAGTGCATCCAAACCAACTAAAGCAACATTTTCTTGGTATGTGTAGATACATGCTGGTATTTTTCAGCTGGAGAAATATTTCTCATTCTATTTTGTGGACAAAACTGGCTTTTACTCTTGTTCTGGCTGTAGAGCTCTCAAAATGATCTCATCTTGCTGTTTTTTGGTGGCGTACAAGGGAGATCAGATGCCATGCTCTCTCAGTGCTTCTTTCTCTCACACTTATTTCAAATGGTCAAATTATTTGGCTAAATGGACAATTTGGAGTTTGGGCTACCCTATCAACTTTAGTTTGCAATAGTTAAACACTCAAGTAGATGATTTTTAACAGCTGAGTTCTTAGATGTTTATCACATATTCCAATGGTAACTGGCCTGTCGGGTGAGCGACCCAATCTCTTAGTCCAAAGACAGGTTTACTAACTACTGACCTCTGCATGATACTAATCAGGTAATGGAAATCATTTGACTGATACAGTAATCATTTTGACACACATACATGTACCATTACAGACTCAAGAAATGGCCCACTCCAGTTCACCACTAGATGAAGCTGATCTGGCCAAACAACGGGCTCAGAGTTTAGAACGCAGTAAGAGGCGGAAACAGGTCCTAGAAGTGTTAACGTTTGGACTTTTCGTGACAGTGATCATGCTGACATCATACAGCGAAAGAAGTCCCATGGCTTTCTATGTAACTAAGAATGCGCAGCAGCTACTCTTGAAGAGCGGCAACGTTGGGTTTTCTGAGGTATGGACCAGGAGCTGATTTTCAGCTCGCATTTTTTATGTTACTGGTCAATTCAGTTCACTGTTAATGATATTGGTTACGTTTTTAGTGAAATCGTGAACATCTGTGAATAGTTTCATCAGGTTGGTAAGTCACTGAGTAAAGAGACTCTTTTATTCAGCCGACGTTTCGGTGACAGTCTGTCACCTTCCTCAGGGCAATTCTGACTCGTTCATATTGCATTGCAGCACAGGTGACGCTGCTATAGAGCGACACCCTCTGCTATGAGGAAGGTGATAGACGATCACCGAAACGCCGGCTGAATAAAAGAGTCGGTTGTGTAAAAAGAGTCTCTTTACTCTGCGGATTGATATTCATGACATTTGTAGTAGATAGACCATGGGCCAGGTGAGTGTACTGGGATATAGTGTTGCCCCGCCCACAAGAGGACTGCCTGACTCCCGACGCGACAGCCGAGGGTGTCAGGTAGTCCCCGAGTGGGTGGGCAACAGTATTTCTCAGTAAACGAGGCCAAGCCTATATGGTATGTCTGACTTAGAACAAGGTCATTTCCCCGAAGCTATCTTTCAAACATGTTCAATATCAGTTTTTCTTGTTCAATATCAGTTTTTCTTGTTCAATATCAGTTTTTCTTGTTTCAATTAAAGCCCAAGAAGTACGGTACTAACAAAAAATGTGGTACTGATTTTATGAAAATGAGTTTTAGTACCACACTGTTTAGATAGTAACACACTTTTCTGCACAATAGGGTATAGACACAGAAAATGAGGGGCTCTCATTGGCTAAGGGGTAGTGGCTATGTTCTAATTATTATTAGGTATTGGCGTCAACAAAACTATAGGCTCCCTTACAGCTTTCCATTGTGAGTGCAGCAGACTTTGTGGGCCTGATATCTTTCAATTATTTTCAGATAAAAGACATTCCATCGTTCTGGACTTGGGTGACAACTGGGTTAATTCCTGCCATCCATGCAGCTCAGTGGTACAACGGTAGGTACTCTAAGGAGGCTGCGATTCTGCAGGACATGTTAACTCATCCACTGGGTACAGTACAGCTTCGGCAAGTGCGGCTGACTCCCGGTGGGTCCATGAACACGATTTTTAAAATTCTTTGTACAGCATGACTATTGTATTTCTTATAATTACAACTAACATATATAACAACAGTAGTGTTATATATATTGTACCTAGCTAAATTCTTCGTGATAACCGCATATAATGCATAGATTTTAATTGTGTAATTGTCTTCGAATATGTCTTAATATTGTGTTCGCCTATGTTGTTTCATGTCATTGTTTTTAATGCTCTATATACTGTAATAAGGACGAAATTCGGGTATTCGCCCGCGAGAGCCTTACTGAATAAAATTTGATTTGATTTGATAATTTTTTTTAATATAAAAAGTAGAATAAGCAACAAAAGATAGTAGTATGGGCAATGTTGTTCTGGGGGGCATTCTACCTCTATGGTATGAGCATAACAAACAAAGTAAGATAAAAAGCCTTTATGACTTGTCTGGGTATAATTAACATAATCCTCTAGTGAACTAGCCGTCAAAGCAGACTTGAATTGTGTTCAGTGAGAGTCTGTAAATGTGCACATTAAACTTGCACAGAGGTTTGCTTTGATATCATAGCGCTACTTCCTTTGTAGTGCATGAAATTAGGTAGGAACTATTTGATGAAAGAGTGACACCTTTTTTGTAGGTACAAGCTATTTAGTACAGGTTATGGTCATAAAACAGTTCTAGGTACGCTTACAGTAATACAAAAGTGTCTTTGAGTTACTACATCTATAAACGTTAAGGACAATGCATGAAAGTATGAACATAATATTGACCTAAATATGGCACTTCTTAAACTTTTTTTCAGGGAAACATTGTGAACCCCCCAAACAAATAGCAAGTCTGGTACCTCACTGTACTGTTGCGTACTCCCTTGATGCTTCGGATACACGGAACTACACAGAAAACTGGAACAAAACTTCTAACATCACAGACAATCTTTTTTGTACGTCAACACCAATCGTCAACGTTAACAATGCAACCGACTCACCCTGGGACTATAAATGTTTGGAAGGAAGCAACCCATGGAGTTACACATTCGCTTCTGTCACTGATGGTAATATTTGACTCTTTTTATATGCTGCATTCTTTGTATATTTTCTTCAATATCCTTCACTGAAATAAAACGTACACTTCCAATGTTTGCTAAAGTTTAAAACTCTTCTAATGTTTCGGGACAGGGGGCCTTGAAAAGGCATCTGCCTGTTCCTCCTGCCCTGTCCTTGTGGCAAATTTGTAATAAATAAATAAATAAATAATAGACTACCTCGTTGTAGGTTAACATTGACACACAAAGACCGATATAATTAATGTACTATTCGCAGATCATAGATGCTTCGTTTAGAAAAAGAACATTTGCATATAACGTCACTGGTAGGTTAACAATCATGAAATATATTTTTGTTTTCTACACAGGTTTTCCTTACTTTGGAAAGCAGGGCATCTATTTGTCCGGTGGTTACGTAACGTCCCTGGGTAGTACACAGCAGACAAGTTTAACTCGCGCGGCTTACCTTCAGCAACATGGGTGGCTAGACGAAAAGACCCGGGCTGTTTTCATCGAACTCACCCTTTACAACCCGCACGTCAACCTGTTCTCTGTGGTTTCCATAGCAACGGAGTTCACCAGTCTTGGGACGGTTTACAAGGGATCAGAGGTCGTGACCTTGAGACTTATCCAACACGACGCCATCTTGCTTCTTGTTCTCAGAGGATGCCTTGGAATTTTTATTCTCTTCTTCATGATTCGGGAGGGTGAGTTTAGAATGATATTTGAGCTCAAAATTACAATTGTGACAACCTTTAATTCGATTAAACTGATGAACTTCTTGACATTATTACGTCACAATTTGTTTACCTGTTCTAAAGAACATTATAGAACGGTCAGTTAAAGAATCAAGATCATTTCAAAGTTTTCAAAGTGAGGTATGTCTGATTTTTGCTAAATCTAGTTGTGTTGACACAGCATTACATGCCGCATGGGTGATTTAGTTGTGACATTAGACGAAAGTAGTACTGTATTAAAAGCCTTATATTAGGCTAACGCTACACAAACACACACCGCGCTACGCACCCCTGCACAATTTAAACGTCGATTGACCGGCATTCATTGCGGTAAACAAATTGTGACGTAATAATGGTATAGGTCCATTATCAGTTAACTGTTCTCCGAGGTTCAATGGTAATCATGAACATTCGCACCAAGGCTATCAGATTATATATAATTAAGGGATAGAGTGATAGCAAACTTTTTTTTTTGGCAGACACATAAACACACCCAGACATTCCTGTAAATATGTAGGATTATGTCTGTAATTGTGATGTTACTTGTATTTGTATTGGAACCCTGGAAGAATAGCCCATAATGGGCTAAAGGGTATCTGAATAAAATGAAACTGAAAACATTCAACATACACATGAGTTAATAAACATAGAAAAAGGCAGACACAACCGCATTCCTCTAGAGCAAAGGATCTGCCAATTTTGCGATTTAGAAAAAAAACAGAAGAACTTTATTGCACGACAATTGTACAGGGTACATTGTATGGCAAATACTAGTAGGTAACAATAAGTAGCATAGTAAAATAGATAGGTATAGAATAAAACTTAACAACTTATATATAGAAAAGAAATAATCAAAAGTTAGCTTAGGCTTTACAATCAGGCGGAGTTATCTATGGGTACATGTGACAGCAAATCAGTATTCTTTCTAATAACAAAACAGTCTTTTATGTATTTACCTATTTTTGCATTGTGTTCGCTGTTGCATTTAAATATATAATCAAATCTATCTGTAGCAACAAGTCTATTGAAATCTGTCGTATTTGAAGTGAGATATTTGAATAGATTATCACGTAGGACATCATATCTAGAGCATTCCATGATAAAATGAAATTCATCTTCGATTTTCTGTGGGCAAAATGGGCAAAATCTTTGGTCAGGGGCTACATTGTAATATCTTCCTGTTTCTATATTCAATTTGTGACTGCTGATGATAAGATTGAGGATGAGTATCATTTTGTAGTCGATTGTACGTTATATAGTAATGAGAGAGATTTCCTATATTCTTATATAATAGATAAGTTCCCTAGCTTTGGACATTTAAATGAAACAGAAAAATTCATATTTCTCATGAAACTTGACAAACCATGTATCATTAGTTCTATATGCTCCTACATCTATAAATGTGTTAAGAAGCGAGAAGTCGAACAATGTAAATAGTAGATCACATTAGTATGTATAGTTTAAGTATCATTGATGTATCCTTTTTCCCTGTCTATTCATGACCTGTACTTAGCTTGTTAGACCACAAACGTACAATAAAGGTCTTTCATTCATTCATTCATTCAGTCATTCATTCATTCATTCATTCATTCATTCATTCATTCATTCATTCATTCATTCATTCATTCATTCATTCATTCATTCATTCATTCATTCATTCATTCAATATAAATGACGTTAAACATTATTGTGTTCTAGGTAAGGCGCTTTTCTCTCGACCTCTTGAGTACCTGACGGAGTTCTGGAGTTGGGTCGAGCTTCTTGTCATCGCAGTAGGCTTCATTGCTCTTGGCGTCTACTTCCACACACAAAGCATCATCGACGACATCGCGATACAGCGAGCGGCCGGAAACGCAGGTTTTGACGGGTACAAGAGCGCAGTTGGCTGGTACCAGGTCAGTTTATATATAGCCACCTGAAGTCTGCATTTTGCAGAGAAGTTTACAATGTTGCAGAAGAAAAATTAAGCAGCCTACAATTTTGCATAGAGGTTCAATGGTGTCGGTATGATATTGTTTAGGAGCTTTTGTGCTTACTACTGACTTAATAATTAATATACTAATTATGCATGTATTTGTCAAACTGCATGTTAAATGTATGCTAAAATGCATTTTTGTATCGGGGGGTTCAGGGCATAAAAGTTTGCATTTGCAGACAATATTCTTAAATTACAGAACAACATGGTGACATTCTGCAGTATTGTAGAACATTGAAAAAAATATTCTACCACTGCAGGTCTACACCTACCTTCTGGGACTTCTCATCTGCGGCGCTACCCTGAAGTTTGTCCGGATTCTCCGCTTCAACTCTCACGTGTACGCCTTGTCTATGACCATGAGACGATCCCTCAAACCTGTAGCGCTGTTCATGCTCACGGCCGGAATCCTCATCATGGCTTTTACACAGATGGCGAATCTGACTTTCGGTGTGAAGCTTGCGGGGTACAGGAACATAACTTCCAGTCTGCAAAGCCTTCTGTTCATGATGCTGGGAAGTTTTGACTTCGAGGCGTTGGGACAGGGACACAACTTTTTAGGACCCCTGATGTTTTTCACATACCAGTGCACGATGCAGTTTTTCTTGCTCAGTATGTTCATGGCTATCATTATGGATGTGTACGCAGAAGAGACACAATCCACAAACACAGAGGAGCTTAACTTAAATACCTTTGTGAAAGAATCTGCTTTAAGAACATTGAAGAAAGTTCAGGACAGAAATTCTCATAATATCGACGTGAAAAGGAACATATCGAGTAAAGACAATGGAATATTGGCGGATATACTTGTGAAAATAGACCGCATGGTAGACAATCTTGACAACGGTGTTTATGACTAGCTTTACATGCTTATAATTTTTATCTTAATTATTACAGAGATATGTCTATGAAGACAAAGCCCCCCTGTGATTGTACTAAGAAGTTGTTCTTTAGAGAAAGATGGCGTCACTATTCTCTTTTAGGAAAAAGCCATTAACCCCTGGATGCATCAGTTTAGATTATATTGATTTTATCAAATGCACAAATGTTAGATGAAAAGCATTCTGTGTTGATTGTAATGTATTTTATATGTTGTAATTAATTAAAATACTAAATATACGTATAACATGATTACATAACTACATATGACATGTGGTGGCTATTTAAGTATTATATTTATGGCTATATAAATTATCAGTCAATGTTAAGAAGACATACTACCTTATTTTCTGTAATAGAAATAAACCCTACAATAGAAGCGCCAAAATCTTTTTAAAAAATGTGACCCTTTCTCAAGAGAGTCAAGCCAAATTCTTAGATTTCATTGATGAACGATTGACCTGGAAACCACATATAACTATGTTAGGTAAAAAATTTCAAAAACTATCGGTATTATTGGAAAAATTAAACATCTTCTTACTCAAAAAACCATTATTACCATATACAATAGCCTAATAT